TTAATTAAAAGGATATAAGAAATAAAATCATGTGGAGCATGGAACATGATGGACCCTGAAGGAGTATCTCTGGGTGCCATAGTGGGGCCCCAAACTCTAGGGTTTCAAGCAAGAGGTTCCACCTCTTTATCAGGATGCTTCATTCCTGTTCAAGGGAAAACATTTTGTAATTAAATTTTTCAAACCCAGGTTCCTTTATCTCTTTATCCTGAGTTGCTCCAGTGAGCTGATAGAGGATGACCACTGAATTAAGAGTGCACCAAAAGGCCTGCTGCACCACACTTGCTGGTGTGAAGCCATTACTTCTTTGTCTGTAGTTGGTGCCACTTTTTTTTTTTAACTTCTAAATTTTCCTCACATGATTTGTCTCCCCCCCCCCCATGGACCACAGACGGTAGATCTATTTACACTGAGAGGTTTGCTGATGCAAACTTCCTCCTCCTCAGGCACACAGGCCCTGGCATTTTATTTATTGCAAATGCTGGTTCCAATACTAATGGATCTCAGTTCTTAATCTGTGCTGCCAAAACTGATTGATTGGATGAGAAATGTGGCCTTTGGCCAAGTCAAAGACAGAATGGAAATTGTGGACAAAATAGAGAGTTTTATATCAAGAAATGGCAAGACAAGCAAGAAGATCAGTATCACTGACCGTGACCAGCAGTCATAAAATCCCTTTGTCTTAACAAATCAACCATTCCTTCTGTAGGGTTAGTCCCCTATAAATCCTTGTGGTCCTGTCTTCCTGCTATGTTTCTGTTGCGTTTCAATTTCTGCTCCATCACAAGTCCAGCTGGACTGAAGACAACTTTATTTGCAGAATGAAATAAAACAAATTAAACCACCTCCCAAAAAGTTAATTAAATGGAAGATCAATTTCATATTTATTGGAATAATAGGCAAACTGTGACAAAGTAATGGAAAAGCAGTGGAAACATTATATAAAATGATCCATATATTTAAAGCACAATAAATGAAAAAAATTGCAGTATAATTAAATCATGAGCTTATCCTGATGTAATTGATGGTAAAAGCATATTGATTCAAATCAAGAAGAAATATATTCCAGGCTTTGCTAGTTCTGTTCCAGTGAAGACATGTCTGAGAATTCTAAACATTTAAGCATCATAGCTACCACTCCAGTAGAGGCTTATGAGTTGATGAAAGTGCCAAAAGTGCGGAGAAGCATTGGGAAAGGAAATTATCCTTTCCCAATGCTTCTCCACACTTTTGGCGTTTTGAAGAGGAAACCTTTTCAGGACTTCCAGAGGAAGAAATGGCAGACTGAAGGCTGTGGTGGAATGAAGAGCCAGTGAGTAGAGCAGCTCTTTGATAATTCCTCTCTGGTCAAGGAGAGGACTTGAGATTGCCCACAAGTGCTCCAGACAGCTGCTCCTCATGAGGAGGTTTAGAGTTCTGGGAAATGAGGGAATAGCCATCTTGCTCATACCATGGTTGCCACCTTTGAAAGGACACTAAGTTTGCATACTTCCTTTTCTAATCACTTTTGGAAATCGCTTGTTAATTGCTTTTCAGCTATTAGAAACCTTTGGATTAAGTTTGATAGCACTGGGTGAGTTTCCCTTCAATCCTTAGTGAAAGAAGTTTTAACTACAAGTTTAAGAATTTTAAAAAAAAATTTTTTTTTGAATAAACAGCAAAAGGGTAATTAAAACCTTATTTTAGAAAGTTACAAATGGACTAAGGGTCCAGGTAAATTTGAAATACGTTTTTGGAATTAAACTTATAAATTATAAAGAATCCTTCCCATGGGAAAATGCTTTTGTTTTGAATTTTTTTTAAAAAAACATAGTTAAGAATTTTAAAATTGGACACTAGAGGGAACTAAAGATTACAATTAAAGGAGAAGAACACATAATCTTGACTTACAATTATAGAATCAAGCAAAATATTCTAACATGGACATACTGAAGGATATTTTTGAACAGTGGACTCAGAAGTTAATAGCATCAACAAAAATATCTGCCTCTATGGAGAGACTATCTAAAAGATATTATGGAAATTCTACCTGATAAGATTGAGACTGAGTTGAAAGTGGATTTACAAATGGCAGGCTACAAGAATGACTTGGAAAAAGATGTGATGCTGAGATTAATATTCAATTGTAGCCAGAACTGTTCCTTTTAGGACTAATGGATAAACAGAAAAAAGCCATGGAAAATTATTACTGCGGTGACATTATTATATGCACAGAGATGGAAAGATTCAACACTACCCACTATGGAGGAATGGTTGGTGAAATTGACAGATCTTGCTGAGATGAATAAACTAACTTCTTTGATTAGAGAAAAGACACTATCTACATTTATTGGTGACTGGGAACTTCTTATGGATTTTTTGTGTAAAAACGAAAAAAAATGAACTTGTGATTTGTGGTTCTGATGATTAGGAAAAAAAGATTATAGAAAGAAGAGTCTTACGATGTAACTTTAGAGAGAGAGATTAAAATATAATTGTACTTATAACTGCTGTGAAGAATATTGGAAGCCACCGTCTTTTTTCTTTCCTTTCTATTTTTCTTTAACTTTTTTTCTTTTCTTGCACTTTGTCCCTTCTTTTTGCTTTCTTTCTTTCTCTCTTTTCTTCCTTTCTTTACTTTGCTGGCTGGAGAATTCTGGAAGATAAAGTTCACCCAGCTTAAAGCTGCCAAGATTGAGAAACACTGCCATACCCTGTCCTTCAGTCCCGGCAGCCACATCAGAAATCACTGGTTCCTGTATCAAAAACCTAGTGAGCAGAGGGGAAAACTCCTAAGAAAGGGGAAACATAATGATTTTTGAACAATTTTAAATGACATTTGCTGGGAAGACTACTGTGTAAGCCAAATTTTAACTTGAAGATGATCTGTAAAATTTTCCTGTGGTTTCCTATGAAGATCTTTTGAAATGAACCAGTGCATTGCAGTATCCATTCACTGTCTTTCATTTAGTACATCCCTCTGACGTTGTACCATTCCCCATGATTGTAAGATAAACCAGTCAATCACATCTTGATTCTAGCTTCTATCCCCTTCACCCATTTCTTGGGATTTTAGATATTAAAGTTATTAAATGAACATCATATTATGGAGAAATGAAGTACAGCATCTGCCTTTCTACAGGGCTCTTGGTGAACCATTTCCTAAGATTAGAATATAGATTTTCAAATCACAGCTGAGTCTACTGGCTACCACTTACTCCAGCTCCTTTCCTCCTCTTGGTAGGACTAATATAGTTTTTGGGGCGGGGGTTGAAACCTAACTCTCTCCTATTGTAGCAATTCTCCAAAATGCTGAATTATTTCTAATGCTTCAGTTTGGAGCAGGTCTTTTCACAGAGATTCTGCTTCTCCTTGTTAGGCCACAGGATTGGTCCAAGGAACCCTTCCTCTGGTCAGAATTCAAGTGTCCTGCCACATCTTTTCCTACCTCTATCTTTTGGTGATGTGATTGGCACTATAGCTGATTGGTGCCTACCACGGCTGTTACAAATTCAAACTGAATGCTGAAAATGCTGTCTTTTCAGAGTTCATCTACATTTTTAGAATGTATATGGGTTTTAAAAGCAGCAGAGGTCATTTCACTTCCACTCTGCTGCAGGGAAAATGTTACATCCTTTCTGTTAGTAAGTTGATGATCTCATATCAAGTTATTTGACAGTTGATAGAAATATCAAATCTGTCCTCAGCCAACAAGTGGGACAGGCTTCATACATTACACTATGGTGATTTTAATGGATGCATACTGTGAACTATTTTGTAGTTTGCTTATTATAACCATAACTTCTGAAGTGCCTAAATATCTTGTGTCTACCACTGAAACATCGTGTGGGTGACATAGATTATGATATAGGTTAATCCGTGTGAACGGCTGGATATATATTTTACATGCTATAGTACATTATAGATGCAGACCATTTATTTATTTATTAAAACTGTAACATGGGGGGCAGAGAAAGTATTTGCCAGTAATAGGAAGAGATGGAGAGGAAGGGAAATGTTAGGATATGTTGCTTCTATCTTACTTTCAAAGGAGACAAGTTGGAGCTTGTTCACTTGGCAATTGCAGTTCCTTGATGTTGACACATCAGTGTGTCAAAAGTATACTGGAAAAGGCAGCGCTGGGTGGGGCCTTGAGTTTATTAATCATTGATGTGTTTTTTGATGATAAGAGAAGCAGCAGTTATAAGATTCATTCAATGGCCATCACTGGAGCAATTTTAAATTACTGCAATTATGACCTCAATATAAATTACCATCCTAATCAAGAGTACATCATGTTATAGCTTTCTAATCCACTGAACTGCAGTACTTTCACTGATGTTGGAATGAGATTCCTGTCCTGATAGATTGTCCCAGAACAGCTTTTAATGGATTCCTCATGTTGTTGCCTGATGTCCATAATAGAGATTTGCTTCATTGAAGATTACATGCACACTTGTGTGGATATTACAGTAGCATTGTGCTGCTACGCTTGCAGGAACTGTTTTGTCGCTCACTGGCTGAGAGTGAAATGCGCAGTGCCCCATATGAATTCCCAGAAGACAGCCCCATTGAACAGTTAGAAGAGCGGCGCCAGCGGTTGGAGCGGCAGATAAGCCAGGATGTGAAGTAAGTTGCCAATGCTTTTTGGATTTTTCCTAGCTTCTTCTAACTTCTTTTGGTATTTCAAGAGCAGGATGGAGCATTTCTCTGGCGTCTTGGGTACAAAGAGAACAGGATGGGTAAGAGTACCTGAAACTGGGATAGATGGGAATAAATCAAATGGAAGTAACTTTTAGTCACAATCTAGAAAAAGGTTGATGAAGGAAACTTTGGAAATATCCAGGAATGTCATTTAATTGCCTCTACTTCTGCAGTGGTAGTAGCCATTAGGTCAAGAGAGGCATTCATATATTCATGTGTCAGTGACATGGCTGCATGTCTGCGTGCATATATGTGTGTGGCTGATAGTTTTACACTCTGCTTGTCCTGCACAGTTTGTCTTACTCTCAGATTTTCACTGGCAAGATTCCTTAGCAATTAGCAACCTTACTAGCAGGCATAAAATATCTGGGTTTTCGCCAGCTCCATCTTACTGTTCTTGGCTATAGTCCTTTACAGACCAAAACAGGAGGGAAGAAACAGCATGGTGGAATAATGGCATATTTGGCCATTAGGAACATGCTCTAGGGCCATTTATTCCCTTTCCCCCTTGTGCACATTCATTTCCTTTTTACATACTAGTTTGTCTCAAGGTTTGGGTGGAATAAATTAGGATTAGGGGTAGCAATTGTTTACTTCTAGCCAGAATCTCACTTGTGAAGGGCTGCTGAGTCTCAAAACTGTCTCTTCAGTGGTTCAAGCCAGGGCATCAATATGAGAGTGACAGTGCCTAAGTAGAGGAAATGGAAGCTACCAGTTGCCTGTTTATCTGCCTGATGTTTGGCAATCAGTGGTGCAGTTTTGGAAGAGGGAGAGGTGGGAGAGAAGGAAAGACCCACTAGAAGGAAAAAGGTTGGGAGAGGGAAGGTAACTGGGCAGAACACAGTTTGCAGTGGAAATCCCAGAGAAAGATTAATGCATGAGGGTTCCACTGAGATCAGAAAATAGCTTCTGAAGGGCTAGATTTAAAAAGTCTTGTTTATGTCCAAAGATAATCAGTCTGAACCTGGGCTCCAACACAGTAAAAGAAGAATAGAGCAGAGGGTCAGCTGACAGTGATATCCTTGCTCGCCTATGGCTACTTAGATATTGAACAGATAAGAGGCAATCTGCTTAGTGGGAAATTAATCTTCCACCCTGCTTAGAACCCCAGTTTTTCAATTCCCAGAAGTGCCCAGGGTGGAATGTGGTGGCAGTCTAGGAAGGGCAGGCTTTTAGAGGAGAAGGACAAATAGTGATCCAGGAAAATAACCTCTTAGGAGAGTATAGGACTTCCTTTTATTAGGGCAATATTGGAGATGATCAGATTCCTTATGTTCCAAGGAAGATATTCCCACAGCCCCAGTGGTCCTTGATCTTCAGCTGTAAAGACGCCTTATATTGGTCATACGTAATGAGGTTTATCCCAGTGAAGAGAACTAGTTGAGGTACTTACCTGCCTATACCTCTTGAAGGCAGAACCTGTGAAAGGGATTGGACAGAGGATTCAGGTTTGGCTTGGAAAACATACAGTGGCTGGTGGTAGTCAAGCACGTGGGGAGGAGGGAAGGGAATTCAAATAAAGGGAAAAGAGGATGTGTGAACCAGCAGTGCTTTTCCAGTGGCCAAACCATGGCTTAGTTATGATATCTTACATGGACCTCTTGCATTCATTCTCTTTTGGACCCATTGGTAGTGAATATTGCTGTATAGTGTCTGCCATTTCTGGTGTTGGTTTCTGCATTAATGCTAGTGTTTTTCTTTTTTTCCTCATCCTCTTTACCATTTCCTCTTCTTCTTTCTTTCTCCTCTCTCTGACTGTTTGTCCTTTTCTTGGCCTTGGCCTCCACTTCCCATTTGTCCTCAGATTAGAACCTGACATTTTACTCAGAGCCAAACAGGACTTCCTGAAAATTGACAGTGCTGCCGACCTACAGTGAGTGCCTGGCCTTAATTCTCTCTGCCCTTGACTCAGGGGTGGGTGCGGGACTTTCCCGCAGGCTGACTCTTCTCCTTATTCCCACCTTGACCGATGCAAAGTGAGTGACCTTCTCTTTTGCAAAGTTCTGTCCCCTTGCATACGGTGTATCCCACATGCAATTGTACCACCACTGGGGGTGTGGCTGTTGAATTAATTCCACAGACTGCTAAGAAAAATAAAATCCAATTAATTTAAGACATTTTTTTCCCAACATGTTGCTCTCCTGCTGTTTTGGGATGATGATGGAATATCTAGAGGGCACCAGGCTGGGGAAAGGCTGAGTAACTACGTTGGGAGGATGCTGAATGATCAGATACACAATTGGAACCGGAGTTCAGAATGGAAGTGTAGGAACTCACTGAAGTGAATTTGTCTTCCAATAAAAGTTTGGTATCTTAAAAGAGAGGCATTCTTGGAAAGGCCAAAGTCAGCTGCCATATTGCCACGCTTCTGTATGCGTGTCACTTTAGCAGACTCATTTGAGAAAAAAGCCTATCTGGGATTGAAACATTGGGGAGCCATATTATTTTGGCTCAGAGTTATTGGGCCAGACAAAACCCCCTTTTATTTTTGCCTCTCCCTGTCCCACAAATCTCAACACCAGTGAGTGGGGGATTCCTCACTTCATGCTGTTGGTCACTTTCCCTTGTTCTTTTTCTGAGCTCTGTTTCCCTCCTGTCCTTTTTAAAGCAATTATTTTCAAGGCAGGCATAGTGGATGGAGCTGTTTGTCTCTGTTTTATATTTCCTTTTTTCTTCCCTCTTTCATTGTGCATTGGTTGACTGGATTCTAGTGAACCAGTAGCTCAGCCAAGCAGGATCCTTATCATTGTTTTAGGGAGATCAGTTCCTTCAGCTTGGCCAGGACTGGTCTTTCCCCTGGGGCATCCATTCTTCTGGTTCTCTACATCAGGATTTTTCAAACTCTGTTCTGTGGAATCTTAGGGTTCTACCAGAACTTGGTGGAGTTCCATGAGAGACTAATGGCAAAAGAAGAAGAAGTTCACTCAAGCGCAGCCAATTTTCTATTGCTAGAGTTTTGCCTCCTGGTCATGGGTTCCAGGAATTTTTTTTTTAGCCTAAGGTTTTTTGCAGCCTGAAAAGTTGGAAAACCCCTACTTACCCTAATGTTTGATTGCTCAGTATAGACATAGGCAGTCAAGCATTTGGTAAAGAGGAGCACAGAATTTGGAGGCTCAGAAACATTTTCCTACTAGTTCTGCTGTATGTTGTATGCCCACAAGTCTAAAACTATTTGTTGCCCACTGCTGTTCCTCACCCCTTTCCATAGTTCAGACTGCTGCCATTGGAGGATACGCCTGAAGGTCCCTGTGTTGCCCGTGTTTGTGTGTTCTATTTTGGTGTCTTCACATGCCTGTTGGAAAAGGGGACTCCTGTAGCCTGACAGAATTGGTCAGAGACTATTGCTCACAGTGGCTCCTTCATTCTCCCTCTTTTCCCCCTTCCTCTCCCCCCAGATTATTTAAAGAGCAGGGTGAAGACCTGGTAGATCACCTTCCAAAAGAACGAGATGTACTTTTGGAGAGAGAGTTCCAGAGGGTCGCCATCTCCGGAGAAGAGACATGTGGGGTAAGGCTGACTGATTTAGGAACTATTTTCATTTTCCCCAACACATACAGTTTGATTCTCCTTCAGAGACTCTCAAACAAAGATAGACAATCTGGCATCCTCCAAGCTATCTTTGACTACAACTCCAAAATCTCTGCTCATCATAATCAATAGCCTGATAGTTGTTGATGAAACCATCTGAAAGATACCCAGCTGCCTACTCTTGCTACAGAACATAATGTGTGCTGAATTTGGAAATAGCTCCAAACGAGTAGCCTCTGGTACCCATCACCAACTTGATGCCTTCTGCTGTGTTGATGACAACTCCCATCAGACTAAGCCGCTTTGGTCAAGGCAGGTGGGAGTTAAAATCCAGCATATCTGGAGGATGCTAAGTTGGGGAAAGCTGAGCTACTATCCTTGTTCTGAGTTAGGGAGAAAATATAACTTGGAGATAAAGCACATGGTTTGCATCCAACAAGTTTCTCCAGTTAGAAGTTTTATGGGGAAGAACTTCCTACAATGGAGAGTTTGGTAGGGTAGTTGGACAGATACCTTAACCTTGTTGCAGAAAGCTTTCTACATTCCCAAAAGAATATGCACATTCCTTGAAAATCACAGAGCTCAAAGAGTTATCTTTGCAACAGGCATTTCGCACAAGCTAGCTATTGTGTGATGGTGCTGAGTTCAGTCCTACTAATTTTCTTGACAATTGTGAGCCCCAAGTAGAGAGACTACTATGGCACCTGCTCAAAGCCCATTTGCTTGTGAATTGTTTTAAAATGTGGGTTGGGGACCAGACGGTGGGCTGCATGTGCTCAAATTCTGTTTCTGTCCTGCTGAAATCTGACAGCAAACCTCTCTAATACTGCAGTATGATTTTCTGCTTTTTAAAAAGAAAACAAGCAGTAATATTGAAGAGTTAAGCTTCTGGTCATTTTGAGGTACCTATTATTTGTTTTAAAACTATACTCCACCCCCCAGCCCCAGCAAAGGGCTGCAAATGCTCTCCTTTTAGAGACCTTGGTGGTTTAAAAAAAAAAAAACTTTAAAAAGTGTGGATCCCCTTGAAAATGCTTGTCCACCCTTGTTTCAAAATAACATTTTACTGGCTCTTAATTGTATTTCCTAGCGGTGTCCCAGAAATTGAGGGATTGTATGTGGAGAAAGAAAGAAAAAATACTGCTGCTACCAGAAAAGCATGGTTTTTTTTTTGTATATTCTTCCACGCTGACTTGGGTTGACTTCCAGGGCAACGCAGAGGAAAAATCCTACTGTTGCTGAGAACTGGAATGTTGTTTGTTTTTACAAAAAGCCAGGGCAGGGCCCTGCAGGATTCTGGAAAGTAAGTTCCCCCAGAGCCTTGATAGGGCCACTCCGTCAGCTGAGCTTCCCTTAAGCCAAGGTCAAGTGAGGATGTGTTCTCAGAGGTACCGTGCCAGCCAGGGATTCAGTATGCAGCAAGCCAAGAGAGGGCATTCTCAGGACTCTAGCTGGACAAGTCTCCCCCTGTTGAGCTATGATTGGGGCCAAGCCTTTTAAGTTTCCAGGGTCAGCTTAAGATGTACCTGTTTATCTATGCTTGGGTTAAACTAGTTCCTCTGTGCTGCTCTAGCATTGTTGCCCTGTGTTTCAGGGCTCTCAGAAGATTTTTGAGTTTGACAGAATTACTGTTTTGGACAATTGTTTTTAACTCATTGTTGCTTACTTTTCATGAAGTGTGCTCCAGTTTGGGTTGTTTTATTGATGAAAAGGCAGGAAAGAGAATTAAATTAACAAACAAGTTCATATATAAATAAAGTAGGAGAGAGAGAGAGAGAGAAGCCAGTGAATTATTACTTTGCTGACGGCCCCCTCAACTCTGGAGCCAGCCACAAATGTTGCTATAATTTCCTCTGCTGAGAAGGTGAGCAATTAGCAGACCCTTCCCTCTCATAGTTACACTGGTGACAGTGAAGAGCCAGCTTCCACACTTAAAGAACATTTATTGGTGGTTCAGAGACTAGCTCTATCCTGGTCACTTCTATGTGAGCTGGAATCCCAGTTGTGCTACTGCAGGCAACCATGCAGTGAGCATGGAGATCAGCTTTTCACTTACCACACCAATGCAACCAGGGAGGGGAGGGGGTTGTTCACTGCTGCTTGCATGATGAGTTATACAGTTCTTTATACAGTAGCGGCTGAATGGGTGCATCAGCTGTTGAATATTCATTCATTCATTCATTCATTCATTCATTCATTCATTCATTCATTCTTCATTCATTATTCAGCTGCCCAACTCAAACTATGTAACTCTGGGCAGCATACAAGACAAAAAAGAAAACCATAATTCCTTAATACAAAAATAGCGTAACTCATTAAAACATACTGAACTATAAAATGGTGAACAGAACTGAAAACTTCTATAACTCACTCATTGGGGATTCGGCTCAACCTGCCCCCAAAGCCCAGGGGAATAAGTGTGTGAACAAGCGTTTGTGCTAAGCAACCAACTTGATTTGGCTTCTCGCAGTCCTGCCAGACGTAGTGTTGGCTGCATCATAACTTTGTCTGTAGACTATCAATATGTTGTAATAGCATCAGATGGCTAAACCATGCATATGAGATAGGGCATGGATGAAGCATCCTGTGATCTCCAAATGCTGCTTCCTGTACAGAGAGAATATTAGAAAATATTTTAGCAAAGTTCCTTAATGGTTGGTTTTCATGACAGTCACTCTGGTACAATGCAAAACCTTTGTGGGACCTTCATGTGTTCAAAGTGCTTCTCTGGTGACATGTTCTTTCTGTTTCCTAGCCTGTGAAACTTTCCACAATGATGCTTTAACAACCACCTCAGCTGAATAAACTGCTTTTCTTCTGCCCTGTCCAGGTGCCCTTCACAGACCTGTTGGATGCTGCTAAAAGTGTGGTCAAGGCATTGTTCATTCGGGAGAAGTACATGGGGCTTTCTCTGCAGAGCGTCTGCAAGACCACAGCCCGATTCCTGCAGGATCTTTCAGAAAAACCCTTAGCCCCCCGGATGTATGAGGAGATCCCTGAGACTCCTGTGGCTGCAGGTAAGGATCAGATCTGGGTATGTATTGAAAAAGAGCATTTCCTTTATTCTGGTAACAGAGATGGCTAAGATGGTAGTTAGAAAAAGAGACTTTAATAGGATTTAGACCATTGGTTCTCAAAGGGGGTGGTACCGCCCTCAGGGGGCGGTGGGAGGATGCTGAGGGGCGGTGAACTTGTTTCGGGCGGTAGGGGGCGGTGGGCACGTTTTGGGCGGTAGAGGGGCAATGAGCATGTTTTGGCATTCCAACTTAATTTTAAAACTCCCCCCAAAATTTATTAAATCGATTATCCGGTTTACACCATTTG